TTTTTTAGATGCGTGTCAATGATTTGAGCCGGACCTTGATGCTTTTAAGAACGTTATTTTTCCGCGGTGCGTGACAGTTTTCTGGAGTTGGTTCTGAATGACCGTTGAAGAATAAACGGAAAGTCTAGACTTCCCCTTTTTGAAAATAAATGTTCTGATGAATAACAACTGATTTTAAAAATTCATGAAAACATCAGTTGCGGCTCAAATCATTGCCACGCACCTAAAAAAAGGTAATCCATTTATTTTTCTATTTAGTTGTTTCTCCATGGATTTGGTTTCTTATGCTTCAGAAAAAAGAATGCTGATTCGTGTCCAAAACTTACTACTCCCTTCCGATGAGCGCCCCTTGGAAATGTTCGGTAAAACGCATCTTAATGTCGAAGAAAAGGGCTCCGCGTGCTCCAGTGTTCGAGTACAGCAGATTTGTTCTTTTTTTATCGAAAAGGCACTGCTTAAGAGTTTTTTTGGCGGAGAGTTTGGTTTGATACGGCAATCTTATTCGGCGTGGGGATATTTTGAAAAGAGCATTAGAAAAATGTTTCAACCTCTACCAATGGCTGAAAAATTGTCCGATTTACATCCAGTTGGGACAGGGTGGCTTGTTTTTTTGCGTAGAATCCATTTCTGAAATAAAAATATGGGGGTGCTATTTGAAAAGTTCAATTAACGGGAGGGGAACCTCCCGCCCCACGCCCCTTCCGCAGTTTGGGAAAATTTAAAATACGTCAAAAGGTGTCCCCCACGATATAAACGAACACGTCTTGTACCGTTTTTCGAAATTCCAACCCGTTCGCCAGATATTCCAGGTAGCTCCTTTTTCGTGACACCCTGTATAAGCGGAGGCTTCATCTTCACTAGAAAAGCCTTTACTGACTTTCTGAGGAACAGTTGGAATAATGACAGTGGATGTTTTATCATTTTACGTTCATCTTTAAAAATTGAATGAATGCCTAATCTCAACAACACCCTCCAAATCATGCTCGAGCATATGTTCTGAGTTCAGAAAAGTTGCCATAGGTAATTTTAGTGATGTTAAAAATAATTATGGCAGGCGCAGAAATTCCTTATTTGTTGATTGAGATTCTACTGATCTTACAATAGGTAGGCATTGAAAGTGTAGGAGTGCTAATCGAGTAAAGCACCGCACCTTTACTCCATGGTGTCATAAAGATTGTACGTCTGCCATTATTGTAGTGAAACAAATAAAGAATCGGGAATACTTATGAAAATCGCTCCTTCAAATATGATCAAAATAAGAGGATATTAGGTCAACAATGTATTGGTGAATCAGAAGCATCTAAATCCTCTTGAGGCAAGGGAAAAAGACAATCTCAACAAACTGATGACGCTTTACAAATTTTGAATTTCCACATTCCCAGAGACAAGCGCTGAAGTCCTGTTTCTCACCCCTCTTTCCGACTGATTTCATAGTCCATGAGCAAATTAGAAAGAAAATAGGCAAGCTACCTACTACTGTTTGCCGAATGTGTTTCTTTTCTTAAACTTGAGTTTCAAAGGTGACTCATGTAAAGAGCAACCGACACACAAGATTTCAGAACCTGCCATTACATTTCAGTAAGCAAAGACACAAACCCAACCTTACCATTGATATTCTTTCGCTTGGACTGTATATTATTCTTCCATTGAATGAACTCAATTCAAAAATGCTTCTGAATTTAATTATTCCGGTAGATTGGAAGAGGGAGCTTTTAGTCTATCTGTGAAGCGCATTTACTAACATTCACTGCTGTCACAAGATATTTTTGCACAGGCAGAGCCACTTTCCACAGTTGATGCATCTCTAACGCCAAGGCTCAATTATGATAAATGGTTCAACGACCAAAAATTGTTACACGCCTCAATAAAAACCGTATTCTTATCTCAAATTGCAAATCTTGGATCACAGAGCACTCACCAAAAAATCTCCTTCCTTCTGCCTCAGTATAAGGAGAGTGACGATACTTTGGAGAAAGAACTTTGAACTAGTTTCAATAAATGATGGCCTCAGAATTTGAGTCATCATTTACGAGAGATTGGATCAAAGAAATAAATCAGCAGGTTACGGTTGTGGCTGGTCTCACACTTTCAGTAGGATAACCAGGAAATAGATGCAGGCATAACACACAAATTCAAGAGCTAGACAGCTCCGATTGGATCAGATTTTAGATTTAATCGGTAGATTGAAATGAAAAACTTCGGTGCACTACTTAAAGGGAAGCAGGGTGCCTTATCTTGAAATCCTGGGCAAATCGTGTGGATACAGTAAAAAAGTTCTCCGCAAATGATGAACTAGTAAGGCTATTACCTACTAGGACCGTTCATTCCGTGTTTTTAGTCATAAAATGTTGATTAGAGTTGCAAGAATAATCTAAAAAAGCAGCGATGAGCCAGGATTCGATCTGACACAAAACACCTTCACTAGAAAATAACGTCCTACATTTAGCTAATTAAGGATAAATAAGCCTCATATGACTTAAGGAATTACGTAAAAGTGCTTAAGCAATATTTAGTAAAATTATGATTATAAAAAATTACAGCAAAATCGGGGGAAAAGCACCAGTTGTTTACGAACGTTATGATAACAAATCCGCCATGTTGCCTATCGCCCACCAGGAAATCGCATTTGAAGTCGAATTTCAACCTCCGGGTCGTTTATGCGGAATGCGAAAACCCAGTCTTTAGTGTAAAAAAGGTTTCAAACACAAATTTCGGAAACCTGAATTTCGTTAGTTCCGCATCGTTTATGTCGTGATTTGAACCTTGGTTTCAAACTCAGGTTTCGATAGAAGTTAGGTTTAGAGGCTCGCATAAACATAGCTATTAAGCTGTTGCCGCCGTTGTCGTCGATTTTCACTTACCCTTTTCTCTTTGTTGAGAGCGACTTTATTGGCTTGATCAGTCGAATCGTGAGAAATTTTAGAGTATCACAATCAAATTTTTTCACTTCCTAGACATAGGATAACGCTCGTCAGAGCGACAACGTGCAGCAGTAAGAAGAAGAAAAGCGAAACGAGGTCGTGGACTGTTGAACGCGCTGACAGATTCACTACCGATCAAACTACACTTGGCGACGACCACAGGTATTGCGAACCGGACACTCGTCGCCCAGAACGGTTGAAACGCGGCGATCCGGGAATAAACCAGCTCGACGAAGCTTGCAAGTCTCACGACGTTGCTTAGAGCAAGATTCAAGACATCGCCAAGAGGAGCAGAACCGATCTCGAGCTCTCGGTCAGAGTTTGGGAACGCGACAAAGCGTCTGATTGAGTGAGAGAGCGGCAAGATACGCCGTTACGAACTCAATGAAACTCAAAGCCAAACTCGGGAGTGTACGCAAGTCGGCGGCAGCTGCAGTGATGCCGAAATCGAAAAAAAAAGCATGTGTCGAAAAAAGCCGCGAAACGATCGATCGAGCGGATCTTGGCTTTCCTGAGGATAGGAACCGGAGTAAAGAATCTCCTGACGAGTAAACCGCGAACTATTACACCGGACGCGAAAATGATCAAGACCGTCATCGACGGATCGATGAAGAAGAATATCCATCTCGGTGATGTATTATACTAGGAACCGTAACGTACAGGTTACGTACTCTACTTGAGACTGTACAGGAAGAATTTAAACTGATCAGCGAGCTACCATGCTGAGCGATGACCCCCGTTGAGTTAGAATCGCTGTCACTGAGCGATTACGGATCCTGCATTCTCACGGCGCGGTGTGTTCATGTTCAATGAACTTGAGTTAAAAAAAATCCCAAACGTCTCGGATGCGGTATCATACCAACTCCTAACAAGACTTAATTCTTTTTGCACCATCTCGCAACAGCTATTTCAAATTCTCACTTTCACCATACATAACACACAACTCCCGCTGCTGCAATCTACAACAATGTGATTATCAAACTCACGGAGATAACTGATGGGCCGTAAATTAGTCAAAATTTGACTTAACTACAACTACGACGAATTATGAACCAAAAGAAAGCTCCTTTAATAACTTTTAATTTAAAATAAGTTTAGCTCGATTTCTTGAACTATTCAAAGGTTATAAGTAAAACACCCTTA